AACAACAAGAGAACACAGTAACAGTAACATCAGATAAATGTGCATCAATAGGTAGAAATTCAACAATTAACTATTAAAAGACGTCAGTGAAACGGTACAAACAATATTTAACCATAAAAGTTCCTGAGATCTGGTCAGTAGTTTGTCACATTCGTTCACTGAAACTCTCATGTCCAAGTGTCAGTGAATGCAGCATCAGATACTAACAGCTGTGCAGCAGATGTCAGGCTGCTGCTGTTTTCAAAATAAGTCTTTGGCTTCCTTCATGTTTTTACTGGGGGGATAAATGTTGTGAATATTGAGGGAGACGTACCTGCATGTCCTCTGATAGCTACACCTGTGAACTCATGGAAACAAGCTTTGTTATAGACGGATATAAGTTTTAAAATGCTGTAAAACTGTAAAATCAGAAACTAAAATCATCAGTTCACACATTTCCATTGAGCCTGTGTCCTACAGCAGCAAACTGATCTCCTGAAACTCAGTTCTGACCTTTGCTTTTGGTTTCCTACTCACAGATTTTCAGGCTTCTATCAGGCCGCCGCTGTGAGAAATCTGCATGAAGTGAATTAATTACAACAGAGAAAACTCTGCAGTTGATCCAGAATTCAGCAGCACGGCTGGTTTTCAACCAGCCAGAGGCAGCACATGTTCAGATCGCTTCACTGGCTTCCAGTTGCTGTCCGCATCAAATTCAAAACCCTGACACTTGCTTACAAAACCACAACGAGAACAGCTCCCTCCTACCTGAACTCTCTCATTCAGATCTACACTCCCTCCTGCTCACTACGCTCTACCAACAAAAGCTGCCTGATACAACCACCAGAACAGGGCCGAGGTCGATAGCGAGACTCTTCTCCTCTGTGGTTCCCCAGAGATGGACCAAACTCTGTTCAATCTGCTGATTCCCTCTCAGTCTTTAAGAAAAGACTAAAGAGCAGCGCTTCACTGAACACCTTTGCACTTGACAGACTGGAAACAAACAAACAAAAATGTTTATAAAATCCTATGACCTCCCTACAGCCTGCTGTTGTCATCAACACATTATCACACTTGAATTTGTTCTATGGCTCTTATCTAGATTGATTTCTTCTGACTAGATCCTTGCTTGTGTTGCATCTGCTCTCAGATCTACGTCACTTTGGATAAAAGCGTCTGCTAAATGAAATTGTAGAATTGTAGAACTGACAACAAGGAAACAGCTTCATGAGAATAAAATGATAAATCCACTCAACACTAAACCAACAACTTAAATTCCAGAACTAAGAAAGTTGATTTCTAACACTGTCAAAGTGTCCATGTCTGTAATCAATCAGCTGAAGAACAACAATGAGTTTGTCTCTAAAGTTCAGCATTGAAGCTGTTCTTCAGTGTTTCTGTACAAACTCATCAACACTTACAGCATCACAGCACTATTTAGTCCTTCAGTTAATGATGCTCAGGTTCGTTTTCCTTGAACCCTTCTTTGTTCCCACTTCTTCTCCATCATTTGCTCAAACTTACACTCATTTTTACATTCAAACCTCAGAGTGACCAGACTGGACTGAAGTTCATCTGACTGAGGTTTAACACTGTTGTTCAGGTTGTAGCACTTTTCTTCAGTTGAAGGTCGTCCTGCATCTTCAAGTTTAACAGACCTGCAAATACAATAAAATCATATTTATCACCAAAAATATATAAACATAAAAACCAAAACACGATGTATTCTCCTTCAGTATAAAGAGCAGAATGAACCTTCACATCAATCATGATTCCTTCATCTGATTTTCTCTTTTATCTTCATTTCAGTCACTTTCATGTTTTCATTTCATGGATGTTGTTGAACTCTGACTGAGATCATCATCTGAGCTGATACAACAAACATGTTGNTTCCTCATCGTCATTGCACATGAGTTCTTCGACATTGGTCAGAGCCTCAGACACTTCCTCACTTGGAGCCATTTCTTCCAGTCGCTGCTCTGAGCAAAGCAGCAGGTTAGACTTCTTACACTCAGGAACAGACCTGGAGGACTCTGGAACACCTGGTAGAAGGTATTCAGCAGCTTCCTTGGAGCCTTTGCTTCTGACCGAAGACTGACTGAGCTCAGGTTTGGGATCCATGAGGAACTCTGGATCTTCTTTCTTTAACCCGGTCTCCTGGTCTGCCACCATTTTGTCCAACAGGTCTTTGGCAGTGTTGGAAAGGCGACAGCGTTGGCGAGCTTTTCGTTGGGCATCAGTGGTACGTTTTAAAGCCTTTGTGCCTAAAAGGTTGCTCACTTTTTTGGTGATCAAGCTTGTGTTACAGGGAGGTTTGGGTAGTTGGTCTCCACTTCCAGACTTACAATATTCCACATCACTCGTCACAATGTGGAAAATGTCAAACGCCACATTGTGAGACATAGGGATGTATCCAGTGATAACATTCTCTGTAGACCATGACTTGAGAATGGTCTTCACAGTGCAAGTTGCTGAAGGGTTGCTGGACTTGATGTTTTTCATGCTCGTCTTAGAGACACGGGAATCATTCACATGACTGTTGCACAGGGTGCACAGCCTCACCGCATATTCTTTTAGACATGCAGCAGTGTGGAGCACCATGTGACTAAGAGTCGTTGAGCTGATCTTGGAGCTGCAAACAAAATGAGCGGGTTCTGATGGCCAAACAGAGCTGTTGACGGCCAGAGACAGAATGGAGTTTACCCTCTGGGAAACTTCCATTTCCATCAGCTTTGTCAGCACTGCAGCACTGGGAGATTTGTCCTGTGGGGTGGTGAGGAAACCAGCAAAGCTGGCGGAGATGGAGTCTCCCAGGGATATCCTGAGCCTCCCAATATCAGCCAGAGATTCATGGGTGAGCTTAAGAAAAAATGCCTGCAGTATCTCTGTAGAAAGAGTGTTAATGATATCAGTGATCATGTCAACTAGTGCAATTGTTGTGGACGCGTCATAGGTCCCATCAGCCAGCATGCACCAGTGCAGCAAAGAGAGTCTCTCCAGAGATGTCTGCACGATGGGCTGGATGTCCTCTCTGGAGAGGCAGATGGTGTCGACCAATGACAATTCACAGATATCGTTGTCCATTGTTACTTCAGATCGATTTGTTGTAAACGCTTGTTCTTTCACAAGAATGATTCGGTCCGTTTCAAACTTCTTCAGAGAGGCGTTGTCTGAGTGTCGCGTTGATTCGTCACGAAAGTAAATTCAGATGATTATCATTGTTACTACTGTTGTCTTGGTGTTGCTTGTACAACAATTTCCCTGAGGGTTTTACCAAAGGTACCTATAAAGTTTTATCTCTCTATCTATCTGTCTATCTGTCTATTGGCTGGTAACCTTCTAAAGCATCAAAGGCAAGATGTTGTGACATCATCAGGTGACATCATGTGACTGTCATGTGACTCACTGACTCACTCACTGACTAACTCACTCACTCACTGACTCACTGACTCTAGAATATTTCAACGTGTTGAACTGCATTGATTCCAACAGATTTTTTTTTGAGAACAAACAAACCTCACATTAAGAATCTTTGAGAGAAAAATGTCTGCACCAAAAGCACTGACAAACAATATTTTCAAACAATCACAAATGAATTTATATACTTTAAGCACCTGCTTGTTTAGATGATGCCACCGCTATATTTATTTAAAAAAATTTTTTAAAAAAAGATTATAATTTTCTGGGTATAAAATGATTGAGGGGATTTTTCTGACTCATCATGGTCTACAATGTCAATAATCAGCTGCAATTCTGATTCCATTCAACTATATATACTTTTTTTGCAGTGTCATGTTTAAAAACTAGCTCACTGATTCACACCAGGCACCCTAAAGACAAAATTACCTGCACCAAAAACACTGCCACAAAATGATTATTTACCAATATCTCTCTGCTTTCATGGAGCACATTCGTAACCAACATCAGTCCTGATAGGAACCAACACACATATGTCATTTCTAACATACACGGTCTGTTCACGTGGTACCATTGTTGTCTTTATGACAACAAACCCAAGTTTTTAAGGGTTTGTCTCATTCCCTGTCCAGCACAACAAATTCAGCTCTACCACATGCACACAGATTCTTTCTGGAATCTCCCCTTTGTTTTAATTTGCATTGCCTTTGTTGCCTAGCAACAGCCAACAGGAACACAAGAAGAAACCCAACATGGCTGCCGTTCATCTGATGAACTTAAAACTCTACAAGATCGGCAGGATGAGACTCACCCAGACAGATTTGCTGAATTCATTTTTCCGCTGTAGCTGTACTTTCAAGATCCTGTCTGGTTGTTGAAGAAACTTCTAAAAACTCATCTCTGTGTAAGAAAGTTGCATATTTAGATGTTTAAAAAAAATTTTTAAAAAAAATCCAATTACAGTTATCTTTTCCAGCAGTAGAATGGTTTAGACGTAAGTCAGGGGACAGATCTCAGTTTCACATGAATTCTCACGTTCATTAGATCAGCGTACTGCTGCGTATCATCTGTTCCTCTTAAATGACAGAAATAAAGTAAAACGATGAATAAAATAACGCAGTAGACACAAATACAACACAAGAGCTCTCATCAGATATTTGCACTGTCGGGGATTCACATGTACGATTCCCTTTTAAACCAGCCCAGTTTTAAAAAACAGTAAACTAGACGTTGTGTTTAGTTTGTGATGTGTGAATGTTTTCAGCCTCTCTGACTGATAAACGTCACCAACAATCACATGTTCTGCGCCAGAACAGACCTTCGCAATCACACAGATAAATCTAAACCTCAAAAACGTTTCTGTCAAACATCATATTGTTGAACAAACTTCTAAACCAATCAGCCGTTAGATCAGCCGTTTCCATCCCTCATATCTCACTGACATTTTCAACACTCAAAGTTTAAAACATATTTGACATTTCAAGCATTTTTATTCATCACCTAAGGAGTCATCGCCGAACTTGCGCTCAACTTCTGAAATCAGTGGAGGCAAATATTTAAAAGTGATTTTGTACACCAACAGGAAAGAAAAATAAAATCAAAGATGTCGGAAAGTAAAAGTTTATTCAAACCACGCAAACAAAACAAAATGGATAGTGTACTGGATTATTCACTTCAAATTAAAGTTGAGAAGAAACACACGGCTACTGCATGAACCTGGAACGGTCTTCAAATAAGAATAACAAAGCAAACCTCTGGATGTGACCTCAACAGAAACACCTGCAGTGCAATGTGTGCTACAGCAGCCGGGTGTTTTCCTCTGCGTAGTCGTGCGGGTCTCCTTTGAAGGGCAGATGTGGAGGATGGTTGCAGATTCCCATCAGGAAGATGATGATGGTGCCGAAGGTCATCACCGGAGTCACCAGGAAGAGGCAGAGTCGGTCCACCGTCCGGGCGATACCGCTCCAGTTGTCCTTCTCCTACAAATCACACAATTCGGTTCAACAACTGAAGAATACCTACAAGTCAAAAACTGGCATTTAGTTTCATATGTGGATGCATTAGTCGGCAAGCAGCGACGGGAAATTGGTTATTTCTACAGAAACAGAACTTTTTTTTTTTTACTGTGTTCTGCAGAAAGCAAATAATTAATCGTCCTGTCTGTCGATAGTTTGTTTTTTTGATAGTTATGTTTTATAGCTGGGGGTGCAAGGTGNAGGTGTTAAACACCTGACAGAATAGAAATGATCTATAGGAATGAGAAGGGCTCTTAATCGAGCTGATTGGTGGCACAATTAGTAAATCGCCGAATTTGCACTTTTGCATCTGGATGACGTTGTTTCGAACCCTCACACCGGACTTGAAAAATACGTGTCTTTTTATTTCGGTCAGCATGTTTGATTTTGCTGTCTGTAGATGATATGGACATGGATATAGACTTTATTAACTAACTGTTTACTTTAGCCGACGAGGTCTTCGTCATGTCACATCTTTTTCGTCACACGCACACACAGGTCTGGTCGGGATAAATCTGCAAACGGATCATTTGGAGGGTAAATACAGCAAACGTCGTCAGTTAACTTGGATCGCCAGTTAAACTGGAACGTGTTTAGTTAATCTGGTCAGACTGTGACTCCACCGCGGCTCAGGCTGAACAACCTTGACTCACATCAGAGAAAGAGCGATAAGTGGAACCAGTGATAAAACTGACAGCAAGAACATTTTGCAAGAGTTTAACGACGTTTGTGGGGTTTTTTTTAACAGGCGTCGGCACGGTCACCTACGAGCTACACTGCCGCTGTAACAGCTGCCTCGCTGACTGAATGTCACCAGTTAATCTGAAACAAGCTTTTTTTTTTATCTCATGACATAATCTTTACTGAAACTGTTCCACTTTCTCTGTTACATTATTAAAGGAAGCAGATATGTAAAGATTTCAGTAGCTGAAGGGCTGTTGGTGCAGCAGAGAACCAGGACAGTAGAAGGAAACACTGTTGGGGGTGTTTGAGCAGCAGCATTTGAGTTTATTATCAGAGGTGAAATATGAGGAGGAGAGAAGCAAAGAGGAAGCTCAATCTTCATGAATGAAGTCTGAATGCAGTAAATGGAGCCAGTTAAAGTCTTCATGTGGTTGTTAAATGAATCGTGCAGTGGATGAGGTGGAGCATCAGCAAAGGAACAACTGGTAAACTTCACTTTTTAAAACTATGAAATAGAACATTGTCTTTGGCAGATGATATGTTTTAAATAGATTTATTTCCTCAGTTTAAAGTTGACAGTGAAACAANTTAAATTTAACGACTAAACAACATATTTCCTGCATGTAGCTCCACACAGCACTACTACTGATACTACTACTAATTCTACTCCAGAGCAGTGAGTCAAAGCAACAAAGAGCTTCATTCATTGTGTTTATCTGCTGCCACCTACAGGACAAACTGGAGAACTGCAGCTACACACAGGTACTGATACAGAAAGCTCTGAACATGAAGAAAACACCAACTAGTTGATGGTTTTCTGTATTTCTCTCATACCGTCAACTTTCAGGTTGATCAATGAATCCTGGTTTCTCCTGAAGGTGCTGATGAAACACTGATATCTTCCTTCATCCTGAACCTTCACTCCTGTCAGCTGCAGTGAGGCGTTTCCTCTGGAGATCTGCTCCTTGAACAGTGATGTTCTGTTTCTGTAGAGCTGATCCTGATTTCCAAGCTGGTCTTTGTTTTCGTAGTACGAGTGGACACGACGTCCTGTTGTCAAATGAATCCAGTGGATGACGACATGAGGAGCGACCTGGAAGCTGCACGGTAAGATGCATCTCTCCATAAAACCACAGGACACCTCAGCATCTGCAACATCAGGTAAAGACCATGTTAGTGAGAGACTCAGACCTGCATCAGAAACACACTTAGATTTAGTTGTTGAGCAGCTTTTGTCCCTTCACTTACTGAGAAATAATCATTACAACTAAACAATGTTATATTGTGTGTTGTTATTCTTCAAACTGTTTTATTTGTTAGAAACACTTCTGATGTTCAGTTGTACAGCACAGTTACCTTTAACCTGCCAAAGTGTCAGAAACAAACTGTGTTGTAACTCGTCATGAGTGCACACCCTCATGTCAACCACAAGTTCCTGTTTCCTGTTTTCTTTTGCTTCTTTCGTACACGATGAGACATGAACATTCAGACTTTGTCCTCCACTATTATTAAAACCAACTCAGAGCTCAGCTGTTTAAAACTGACTGTAACAAGAAAAAATCAGTTCATTTAATTAATTCTGTTTGTTTGTGTCCTGAGGACCAGAGCTGATCCTCCAACAAAGCAGACGGTAAAGAAGAGGAATGGGTGACTCTTGCCTCCTCCGATTTAAAGGACGAGTCAACCACCTCTTCTTTTCTGCACGACCCTCATTTTAACAACTTCGTCTTGTAAAACAACTGGTTTAAATGTTACGACTTTATTCTCGAACTTTGTGGTGAAATATTTTTCTTCATATGGCCCTAATACTCCGACGTACAAATAAAAACCCAGAATACCACATTAAAGTTTGTTGCTTTGACATTTTAACTTTTGTCACAACAACAACATCCTGAGAGTCCTGGTTTGTGAAATCACTGCTATCAGAGCTGTGTGTTGTAAACACAGAATAAACTGCTGCATCGAAGACAATGTGACAGAAAACATGTTTCAGTGACAGAATGCTGTTCACTCACCTTCTCCAGAAACAGTCTGGATCCACAGAAACATCAGCAGAAACATAGAAACCTTCATCCTCATCATCATCCTGATTTGTGTCACGTTTCAGATCTAAACGGTGAAGACTGAACTTTAGATTCCTGCTGTCAACATGTTCTGTAGGTTACTGTCCAGTCACAAACCACAAACTGAAATCAAGAAACTGCGTCACAATGACTGAACCTCATTTAAAAATGAGGAGGGTCCAACGTGATCCGCAGCGTCTGAAAACTACTGAAAAACTTTTAAACTAAAGATTATTGACCTAAAACAAAGACAGACTGAGCAGTTTGTTTCTCAGATGTTGTCAGAAACACATTTTGGTGTTTCTGTAATAAAAGAAAGTTTCCAAACGAGCTGCTCGTTGGTTTGTTTGTAGCACAAAGAAGTCGAAGCGTCCAACAGCAGCAGCAAAAAAATCTACCATCGTCTAAAGATTTCCTGTTCTACAGTTCAGTGGTTGAAATTTCAATCACATTGTCAGACAGGAAACTTTATAGCTGGTGTTCTGGTGTGACATGAAAAGATGAAGTGGTAGGCACCTGAGGTCAGAGGACGGTTTCTATTTTTTTAAAACAGCTTTATGACTAATCTATCCACAGTAAATGTAGCATCAGATCAAGTGTGATCACATGTAAACCTCAGAACTCAACATCCAGGTCTGAGCTGTGCACTAAGAAACAGGTTCAACATATCCAGGAAGTTTTTGTCACCGTACTGCGTCCTTCAAGCTTCAGTTTCAGATTTTTTGAAGTTCTGCTGTTTCATTGAAGTTATTTTTGTAAAAATGTGAAGGAAAAGTGACGCCGACATTCTCACGAACAAGAAGAGAGCAAATAGTAAAAGACCCAAATAATCCTGTTAAAACCAAACGGACATGTTGCTGCATTAAAGCTGTGCAGAAAATGAATGAATTCAAAAAACTGGATTCTCAAAAACACAAAAGCTTAAATTCAATGAAAGAATGTAGTTTTCCTCTCTGACTTTATTTTGTGTTAATAGTTTGTCAGAGACTTGAAGCAGCTGTGACAACACGTGTTTTCCTGTACTAAAATTATTACTGATGCATTCATGTGTGCATCACTTCTATGTTGATATGGAGCGATGCTTAACTTCTTTATAAACTGTTGGAAAGTCTGAAACTGATCACCTTCGACACACACAAACTGTCAGACGTAATGCAGTCTGATGATAATAATTTTAAAAATCTATTTTAAACAGCACTAATAATTAAATTAGTGGTAAACCTTAGTGGTGTGTTTATCACCAGCAATCACAAAGAAGTCACCTGAAGTGGAACTCTGAGGGGTTTATGTGACGTGTTGATAAAAAGTAGACACCACCTCCTCTCAACTCTGCAGCTTTGAACTTGCCTATTTTTTCACTTCATTCCACACATGTTGGGGCAGGACGTTGGACTAATAGATTCCCCGTCTACTGACTATGATGAAGTTCAGTGTTTACTGTCCAGATCTAATCTGCGACGCGTAAGACTCCCACAGAACACATGGATTGGATTTTGTGGCACAAACTTTCCTGCCTGCAGCTGATCGGATGAGTTTGGTTTGGAGGCAGATCGCTGGATGTTTGACCAACCAACACAGTTATTTGAAAAATTGGTCTAATTTCAGATGAACAACGGTTAGTTTATGAGTTCTTCAAAAGTTTCTGAAGGCTGTGGATCACACTGGAAGAGGAGTGGGAACTATAACGGCCAGAGAGTGAAGCTTCTCACCAGCTGAACATCTTCCTTCATGGCAGGATTTAGAAATTCAGACTTTTCTGTTCACATCTGTTTTCTAACATTAAACCTGCAGGAATATGAGCAGCATATCATGTTCTATGTTTCTGGTGATGCTTCTGTGGAAGCTGACTGTTTCCAGAGGAGGTGAGTGAACGCTTAAACTTTGCTCAGTTCACATTACTGCAAGATTTTTTCTCCTTATTTTGGATGCAGGAGTTTACAATAAACTTTTCTGAAAACTACTTATCAGATCTTCCTGCTTCACAAAACCAGTGCACCTTGATCAAACATTTGTTGTTGTTAGTTGAAAAGTCGAAACAAGACACTTTCATGTGGTTTTAAAAAAGGTCTCGTCCATAACGGAGATCCTGATGGAAAAACTCAAGAGGAACTCATAAAAAGCGGCTCAGTGCTGCTGAATGAAGCCCTCACTGACGGTTTGTAGGAGTCTTTGTTCTATCAAACAGCAGCAGGATCCATAACGTCTCCAAAGAGAGAAAGAGCTGCTTGCATTTACGTCCACCAGCAGTCACTTGATCAGCTTCAGAAAATGATGAAACCTCCACACAGACAAGATCAGTCACATCTGAGAGCAGATAACCTTCTGGGTCAGTCCATCTCAGGTTACCACATGTTGACATTTTCTACTCAATCATCTGGTCTCTGGAACTTTTTGTAGCATATAAAGTAGATATTTATAAAGGCATGTTCACACGTTTTGTTTCAAATATCAAATACGTTCAGAAATATATACATTTTTAATACCCTTCAACCCACTTTCAACACATTTTTTCACACATTCAAATTTGAGGCTGTTGAACATCAACACATCAGGAAACATTGAATCTAAAAACCTGACATTTCATCGTTATTTCTCCTCATAACACGATGTACAATCTGCAACACTGGATCAACCAGTCTCTCAATATGGGTGAGTTGAAATGGATAAACAAAAACATTAATAATGCAGAAGTCACTGTTGATAACCGTTAGATCAGGTCGTTACCCACTGAGCAGGTTTGTCAAGTTCTACCACAACAATAGAAGCACTGCTAGAAAAACTTAACCAATTAGAACGAAGTTCTGGAGTTTGAAAATGGTTCTGCAAATAAAATAACAAAATAATTTTTAAAGCCAAGCATATAACTTTGTTTTCAGTCACAGAATCACCTCAGAGCATTGCTCTATTACGTAGAGGAAGAGATGCTTGAAGGGAAACTCTTCAGAAGTTGCTCTGACTGTACATGAACGCACACTTTTAACTTTCTGCACAGAGTCCAGCTGTGACTTTGGTCTTGAAGGACAAGTTCATTCTCAATGGAAAACAAAGCAAGAGAATGAATTTGATCGTATCAAACAGTTTCCACAACGATTAAGAGAATAAATGTACTACTAAAGTGTTAAATACATCACTAAATATGTGTCAAGGCAAGAACATTTCCACTATCCCTACAGATCTGTGAATTAGTTATGTTATGCTGACGTCATTCTAATGACTTCATGCAGTGATAATTCAAAAACAAATCCCACAAAACTACGTGACAAGTCGGCTCCACACCAAGATTTATGTCTACACAGGGGTCAAAGAAGGACAAATATGTGCATATAGAAAAAGAACACTGTCAAATCTGAAAAACACTTTTTAAACTCCAGAACTCTCTTCTACTTAGATCAGACTGCCGACCAATACTTTTCTATTTTGTGGCACAACGAGTCATCCCTCATCAATCAGTTATAGTCTGAACTGGTTACATACGATTCACAGTTTCATCATCATGTTTTTTTTTGTTAATTTGTGCTCAACAATGGGACTTTTCTTGATGGAGTCTTTATTTTTTTCATCTTTCAACTCTCAGTCATAATCAGAGAATGTTTGATCTTCAAATCCTGAATCAATGACATGATGACATGACATTGATTCAGACTTTAATGTTTAATACCTTTATCTTTATTACATCCGTGTTCAAACATGTCCTAAAATTTCAATGTTAGAAAAATATCCTCAAAGTGGGTTGATAGGCAATTTAAAATTATACATTTTTCTGGGAAGGAATCTGATATCTTCAGCTAAACTTTAACAAATATCTTTTCAAATATCCATATTTTTAACTCTCAAAATGTCAATAAAATCTGAGTTGCTTGAGCAGAGATTGTTGTAAAAAATTACATGATTTGAGATGGACTGAACGATTTCTCCTCACAAGACAAATATTTCTTGGTGATGTTCTCATTTGCTGCAGAGCGCTCTGTAGCATTATTTAGTTTATGTAGAAATTCTTGCAAACTGAAGGGACAAAAGCTGCTCAACAACTAAATCTAAGTGTGTTTCTGATGCAGGTCTGGAGGTGGAAGAGAGAACCAACTGAGACAGTTTCTCCCCATCAGACACAAATAATGATATTATAATGTAGTTATATCAAGTTATATCAGGAATTAAGGAGATAACATTCAGTTTCTACTAATAGATCCCTTCAGTCCGACACACTGGACCTTGAAAAGATGAACCTGATTATATTTTCTATTTCTCCTGCTGTCAACAAATCTAATGGAAAAACCAACATTCAGTCAATCTGACAGAAAGCCTGATGAGTTTTATTTACATGCTGCTTGTTATTTATCTTTACATTCCACTGAGCTCATTAAGTCCTACCAGTATGTATCTGACGTTCCAGTTTTCAGTCGCTGTAAACTGCTGCAACAAAACATTTAAACAAATATTCCTCCAGTTCAACATTTAGTTTGTGTGTTAAAGGAGGTTTTGGATTTTATCGTCTCTTTCCAGCTTCAGCTCCCAGAAATATTTATGAATCTAAACTTGTTGAAGTTTCAGGAATCAGAAACTGGAGACTGAAGGACCTGAACTCATGAAAACTCATTTTACAGATTTGCTTTATATTTGCCGTATATTCTACATTCTATATTTACATTGTTTAGTTGTAATTATTAATTCTCAGTAAGTGAAGGGACAAAAGCTGCTCAACAACTAAATCTAAGTGTGTTTCTGATGCAGGTCTGAGTCTCTCACTAACATGGTCTTTACCTGATACTGCAGATACTGAGGTGTCCTGTGGTTTTATGGAGAGATGCATCTTACCGTGCAGCTTCCAGGTCGGCACTGACGTTGTAATCCGCTGGATTCATTTGACAACAGGACGTCGTGTCCACTCGTACTACGAGAACCAAGACCAGCTTGGACATCAGGATCAGCTCTACAGAAACAGAACATCACTGTTCAAGGAGCAGATCTCCAGAGGAAACGCCTCACTGCAGCTGACAGGAGTGAAGGTTCAGGATGAAGGAAGATACTTCTGCCACACCAGCACCNTGAGAATTGTGTTTTTTTTAGGGGAATGATTGCAGATTCATGTGTAACCTCTAAGTGTCAGTCTGTCTCAGCATGCAGCAGAGTTAATCTATTTTACTCCTGCTGCGTCAACAATTTGTTGATATATTTGTGACTCTTACTTTCTGTATGGCATCCAAATTTAACCTTATGACAAACAAAAACACGTGTCCATAACGGTTTATGAATTTCAAATGTAAGGGAACTGACAACAAAAGTAGAATGTATTATTCAGTTCCCAAACGTGTGCTCAAAAAACGTCAGTGCATCGGCAAAAGTTAGATGCATCAATGCAGCCGATGTAAAAAGTTAGTCAGGAGTCCTGAATTTAATGTGAAGAAGAAGAAGCTGCAGAGAGTTTATTGGTTTCAAACAGGCAGCAACGTCCAGAGCTGAAAAATGAAGCCAACACAGAAATGCCGAAAGCTGCCCTTCCTCAAATGTCCACTTGGGGCTGCCTCCAAAACGAGTCAGTCCCCACTGACCTCCATGTTAAAATGTCCAACTTCGCAGCGGAAATAAACATGTTTACAGCCTGAAACAAAAGACTGTTTTGGTCTCTGTAGCTAATTTCCAGGTTCAAGACAACTGTACGAGGGGTAAACTTCAAAAACGACTTTATAGGAAACCTCTGGCTGACATCATGGACGGTTTGTGCATCGTAATACATAATCAAAAGGCCGAGCTTAAAGAAAAACTGATGCAGTGCAATGCTAACGGTCCCACAGAGGTTATTGTGCTCAGCTTTTGTCGAGGCTGTAAAAGAAAAGTGTAATTATTGAATAGATCTCTCACCTGCACAGCAAAAGAACACAAACATATGCTAACATATATTTAGCATTTTGACCCGTGCTTTAGCTGAGGAGGTGCTCGGTCAACAGTCTTTCTCACCTCGTTGTAGTCGTTCTTGTTGTGCATGTGTTTGATGATGTAGTTCGCTCCGTCCACAGCCGGCTTGATCTCGGCGTACAGCTGATCCGTCACGCCTCCGTCCTCCTGCGGCTTCACCACTGCACACACACAATTAAATAAATGAATAAATCTCAGTGACCAGACTAAGTATTTGCTTCTTTCGGGTTTAAGACCAGCGGGTTCTGATAGTTCTGTTGGTACCGGCGGCGTGTGTTGTCCTCGTCGTCAGCCCGTGTCTCACCGACTGCTTCTCGAACATCAGCTCGCTGCGGGACTTGACGCTGTAGTATTCCTCCGCCGTGGCGATGTAGCCCACCGAGCTGGACCGCCGCGGCAACGCTCCGTCCCAGTACGGCTCCGCCTCCGCGGGGCGGGACATCCGCAGGATCCGAGGCAGGCGCTCCAGGAAGAACTGGACGGAATCAGTGTAAAACAGCTGGTAATCAATGGCTGACTGGGACGTTGCATGAAATCAGTTCCTCCCACCTGAGCCAAACAGGAGAGCTTTTATGTGACATAACTTTGAGCACATTGAGCCAAACCGTGCACAGTTCTACCTTTTCATAGGATTTTTAGGCCATTTGAGGACATCATGTGCTTTTTCAATCGTGTTATTTTTCAGCATTTCGGAGCCTCATAACTGTACAGCCCATGAGACACAGACGTCTGGTTTTACCTCCACCCGGCTGCATTTTTTAACAGAACTCACGTGTGTTTTCTTGTGCGTTTAGGTACTTATGTGCGTCTTGTACTTATGAGGCTAAAAAAAATACTGGAAAAAGCAATGCAAATTAAAGAGTGCACACCTTCAACCCACGCTGTGAGCCTGAAGGACCTTTACACTGACAATATTCATCGTATGAAAGTAAAACCTTTTCTAAATATACTGACGTTACTGTAGATTTTTTTAAAAAATCAGCTGATTCTGGGACCTGCTTCCAGATTCAGTTGATATTATATATGACACCAATTTTACCTGCATCAGCGACTTTAAATAGTTTAGATTTTTGTTATTACA